GGGCGTTGCTGCCGGCCGGGAAAGAGGAAGGGGCGACCGGGGGACGTCCAGCCCCGCGGGCTGGCTGCCAGAAGAGGAAGGTCCCAGCCCCGTTCACCAGCTGATCATCGCCCTGGCGGGGGTCACATCTCCACGACTAAGCCCTGGCCACCGGCAGAAGAAACACGACGTGTGTCCTCGCCCCACCGGCTGGCCCCATGGCCCACGGAGGAGCTACTGGGGGTCTGCCCGGCGAGGCTTGATGTCACGGGTCTTCATGTAGGAGAGGAGCTGCTCGGGGATCTCGGCCAGCACGTCCTTGGCCAGGCGGGCCATGCTCAGCACCTGGTTTCCCGAGTCGTCCACGTAATCCCGAAATGGCACAAACTGTGGGGGGAAGAAGTTTGCAACAACCTTGCAGCTGCGGGGTCAGTGAGGGGCTGAGCATCTCTCGCCCGTGGAAGGACCAGGCTTAATGACAGTGTTACCTGTACGATGTCCCTCTCAGCGTAGCGTCCCCGGGAAGACACCCGTACCTCATCACCATCCAGCTCCTCCATGGCTGGGGGGGCACAGCTGGTGTCACCAAGCCTCAGTGGGATGGCCACTGGGGCTGGAAACACCATCCATTCCTCTGGGATGCCTTTGGAGGAAGGGACAGTGTTTCTGTACCCCCTCCCTGGTGTCCCCAAGCCCCAACTCACCCTCAAACTCAGCTGGACCCACTCCCACGATGATGATGGACATGGGCAAGGCGGAAGCCTGTGGAGCAGAGGCAGGGTGGCAGCTGGGGCAGCACCCAGCATGGGGTAAATTCACAGCAAGGAGGATGCACTCACGGTAACGATGGCTTCCTTGGTCTGCAGCATGTCGGAGATGACACCATCGGTGATGATGAGGAGGACGTGGTACTGTGAGCCATCAGTCACCTGGGCAGCCGCCCTAGGGGGACAAGGGATAGGGTCCCTACAACAGACCCACCAGTGTGGGGCAACTGGCCCTGCTGTGGGACTGGTGGCATTTGGGGATAGACAGAATATCCTGGTGCTCACCCAGCCACCTGGTTGATGACGGGGGCAAAGTTGGTGGGACCATAGAGCTGGACGGTGCGCAGGCTCTGGAGGTAGGACTCCAGCACGCCCTCAATGCCGGCACAGCTGGGGTTGTCCGCGTTGTTGTTCTGGGGGATGGGGACGGGCGCTTGGAGGGGGACCACAGCCCTGGTGTCCCCTCCGGGCTGTGGGATGCAGCCAGGGCAGGTGCTTCCCCCCCACCGCCAAGCTGCTGGGGGCACCCCCACCCCAGGGCGCACCAGGGGGAACTGGTGGGAGATCTTGCCATCGGGTGGGAGTTTGGCACCGAAGCCGTAGGCGGGGAAGAGCTTGTCACTGTCGTAGTCCTGGATGATCTCCCCCACCGCCTTGAGTGCCAGGGCGTAGGCGCTCAGCTGGTAGGGGCTCGCGTAGTGCAGCGAGGTGGGCTGCGACGGCATCCCTGCGGCACAGTGCCTGTCGGCACCTGCCCCGCAGCCGTGCCATTGGGGATCCCCCCCCCAGGCCAACAGCACTCACCGTTGGAGGCCGTGAAGTCAATGGCGACGGTGAAATTCAGCTGCGTCCTTGGAGGGAGAGCGAGGGAGGCTGCCGGCCCCACGGCAGGGGGATGCCGTCTTCCAGCCCCACAGTGTGATGTGTCCTCCCCCCAGGACCCATCATCTGGGCCCCCCCTTCCCCATCCACCACCCCACAGCCCAGGGCTGCCGTCCTACCCTACCCCCAGCCCCGTCACCCCCTCATCACCCCCAGGCTGCACCTGCGCTGTCACTGCCGTCCTCGCCCCGAGACCCTCGCTTGTGGGGGGTCTCAGGGAGCTGGGGGGCACCTGGCCCCCACTCACCCGCCCCGGATGTAGTCAACAAAGGTGAACTCGGACTCGACGGAGAAGGAGAGCAGTGTCACCTGCAGGCAGGGGGGGGGTCAGACCAGGGCCCCCCCAGCAGGCACAGCATGGGGGTCAGACCCAGCCCCCAACAGGCAGGAGCCCCAGGAGGGCCCCAGCCCCACTCACGGTGCCAGAGTTCACGTATTTCTTCTTCTTGCATTTCTTCCTGGGGTTCAGCACCTGCGGGCGCAGGGGTGGGTTGGACCTGGCATGGGGTGCCCCCCAGCCCCCTGCCCCAGCCACCCGCCCTACCTCGTACACCGTGAACTGGCTCTGTGCTCGGGAGAGCTCCCGGTAGCTGGTGGCAAACTCTCCGATGAAGTCGTGGCTGTGGGAGGAGCATGGGGTCGGCACGGCCAGGCACCCCGGTGAGGGGCACCCTGGGAATTGCTGGTGGCACCACCATGTCCCCCGCCACCCCACGGGCACAGCCTCACCTCCCATCCCGGTCCCAGTCGTACACATCTATCTTCACTGTCCTGAAAGCGAAGGCGGGCAGAGGGTGAGCCACCAGCCTGGCTGGCACGGGACCCCCCGGCCCCCCTGGTTTGGAGACACCCAGCCCCACGGTGCCTCGGCAGCGAGCACCCTGCCTGCCAGCAGCCGGCAGAGCCGCCCCGCCTGCCTGGCCTGTGTCTCTGCAGGGAGGGAAGCGGGAAATTTGGGTCACAGCGGGGGCCCTGGAAAGGAGGGGGATGCCTTTATGTAATTTGGGTTGCAAAAGAGGAAGAAAAAAAATAAAACAATAAGGACCCAATTCTGAGCTGCCTGCTGCTGCGGGGCCAAACCCAGGAAAGAGATGCTCACACCCTGCTCTGCCCCATGGCTGTCCCTGTCTCCGTACCGGTCATAGTCGCCGTTGCAGAGGGCACGCACGGGGATGGTAAAGGGCTGCCACACTGGGTTGAGCGTGTTCTTCACCACCTCCGTCTTATGGCAGATGGTGAAGCTGCGGGGACAGGGCAGGATCGGGGCGTGCCGTACGGTGACACCGGCACCCTGCCCACCCCGCCGGGCCCCTGCACTCACGTGCCATCCTCATTGCTGCGGTAGAAGACGAGGAAGGGGTCGGATTTTCCAAAGAAGTCCTTCTTGTCCAGCTTGTTGGCACACAGCTGCATCGTGACGATGTCCTGGAGGCAGGGACCATCACTACCAGCTGCCTCCTTGCCCCCGGCCCCCATGCAGCCCCTGCCTTGCCACTGCTGGGACATGGGCACTCACCCGGCAGTTGCTCAGCTCCTCGGCCAGCAGCAGTATGGTCCCACACCGCTTCCCTGGGACCCCCCTGGGACCAGAGGCACCCACTTAGCTTGGGGACAAGGAGAACGGGACAGGGGCAGGAGGTGGGGTTGGGGCTGGGGCTTGTGCCCCATGGCTGGTGCTCTGCAGCATGGCTGGTGTCCCCAGCAGGGGACGTGCAGGGAGGGGTCCCATGGGGCAGGTGACTGGGGACATGGTGCAGGACCCCCCCTTGCCCCACCACGGGCTGTGACTCACGTGAGGGCTCTCTCCAGGCGGCCCCGCTGGGACCCGATCACCTCCCCCAGTGCCACGAACGCCTGCCCCAGGAAGTCCTGCACCCCGAGCACAGCACCATGAGACCCCAGGGGCTCCTGCCCCAGCCCCCCCCACCCACACCCACCCCTTTCCCTCCCAATGTGCCTGTGGGACGTTCAGTCACCCTGTCCCAGGGCCACCCCAAGTACCCTGAACCCGCCCTGTGCTCCAAGCTGCCCTTTGCCCAGCCCAGAGCCCATCCTGCACACCCAGGACCACCCCAGGTGCTCACTCTATATGCCCTGGACTCATCCTGTGCCCCCGGGACCTGCCCACAGCCCTGAACCCACCCTTCTCCCCCCCCACACACATACCCTGAACCCATCCTGCACCCCTCAGACCGCCCTGCACCCATCCTGCACCCCAAAAGCCACCCCTGTGGTGTATCCTAGCCCCATCCTGCCCCACCAGGCTCCCCCACAAGGGCCAGGGTCTCAGGGCAGAGCAGGGGCTGGTGTGTGGCGGGCACCTACCTTCTGCCAGTCCCCGTGGGGCATGGAGAGATGGAGAGCAGGTCAGAGCCCTCGAGGCCAGGGGCACCCATGCCCCCCGACAGCACCCGCACGGGGCATGGCATCGGGGTGTCCCACTGCGGTGTCACACCGGGGCATCACCATGCATCCCCCCCCAGGCCCCGCACTCACCTGCTTTAAAATGGAGCAGCTCTTGGAGTCCACGTTGTAGCTGGTGACAGGAGAGCAGAGCCCTGAGCCCGTGCCTGTGGGGGTGCTCTGGCACGCAGCCCCACTTCCCCCACCCATTTCTGCTTTTCGCTGCCATATCCTTATTTATTATTGTTATTTATTACCCTTATTTATTATCATTATTTCTTACCAACTTAGCACTTTGTTCCACCCCAAGCTGGGGGCTGAGCCCTTCCCCGGCTGCCCCACTCACACATCAAAGCGAAGGTTTTGCTTCTCCTCGAAGTAGTAGTCAAGGACAAACTTGCGGACGAAGTCAGGGTTCAGGGTGTTGTCAATCACCTCGGTGCGCCCGAACTGTGGGGAGAGGGGTGAGGGTGGCCCCCTCCCCCCCAGCACCTCTCCCCATTGCAGCTGCCCCAGCACTAATCCCAGCGGGGGGATTAGCGCTGCTGGCGGGGCCAGATCATTAGCGTGGATGCAGAGGGATCATTAGTGTGGATGTGGGTGGCCATATGGGCCCATTTAACCCGGCCGGGGATTAGCCAGGAACATGGGCACTGGGGGCAGCAGCACGCCCAGCATGGGGCTGGGAGCCTCCCTGGGGACTCGGTGAGAGGGGCTACGCTCACCTCCTTCCACTCGCTGCTCCCTGAGCCCTGCACGAAGAGGACCACCACTGCAGAGAGAGGAGCAGAGCTGTGCTGCTGTGCTGTGCCCGTGCTGTGCCCCCTGCTTGGTCCCACCACCCACCTGGGTCAGATTTGGAGAAGGTGTCCATGTCCAGCAGGTTCCTGGGGGGACAGAGCCAGGCCTGAGCCACCCTGGGTGCCACCCACCTGGCTCTGCAGCGGATCCCCATGTCTTCCCCCAGATCAAGGGATGGCCATGCCAGCACCTGGGGCCAAGAGCCCCATCACCATGGGGGGACACGCTGGCTCCCACCGCAAGGTTTGGCGGGACAGCGGGGCGGGCAGGGAGCAGCGACTCTGGCGCTGACAATGATTGAACATGACAGGGAACCCATCTAGAGGATGAAACCTTCCCCCGTGCCGCTGGCACCAGCTGAGTGCCCGCTGCACCTCGGCAGCAGGAACATGGCTAATGGCGGGGCGCAGAAGTGAGAAGAAAGGAGACACTTAGAGCAGGGGCTGGGCAGCCGCGGGGACCAGCTCTGTGCCCCCGATGCAGCTGCCAGCAGAGCGATTGATCCTCACCCTTTAGGGAGCAGCGACTCTGGCGCTGACAATGATTGAACATGACAGGGAACCCATCTAGAGGATGAAACCTTCCCCCGTGCCGCTGGCACCAGCTGAGTGCCCGCTGCACCTCGGCAGCAGGAACATGGCTAATGGCGGGGCGCAGAAGTGAGAGAAGAAAGGACACTTAGAGCAGGGGCTGGGCAGCCGCGGGGACCAGCTCTGTGCCCCCGATGCAGCTGCCAGCAGAGCGATTGATCCTCATCCTTTGCACGGTGTGACACCGGGAAGCACCGGGTGCTGCAACTGGCTCTGCTGGGATCCTTCCTGCACCCCCTGGGTGGTGGCACTGGCTGGGCTGGGGCACAGCCGGGCGCTGTGGGACTCAGCCAGCTCCTCTCGCCCCAGTGCACAGGACTGGGGGCGCAGGGCAGAGACCCCAGGGCTCCCCCCCCCCCCCGCCCTGGGTGGGGCTGCGCTC